GAAAAATATCCTCCAGTGAGGATTAACAACAAAAAAAGTAAAATAAAATGAAACATTTACTAACACCAAGAAAACGTTTTCTGATCTTTTTCTTTAAACAGTGCCCAGAATCTTCCATTTCTATCTCAGAAGCGATCCAATAAAAACCTGAAAAATTTAACTGGAAGCAAATTTAAAATATTTCTTAGATTTCAATACTCATGTTATGAAAATCACTACTGAAGAGGGAACAGAATGTTGATTTTAGGAACACACTCAAAAGCTCTCACACACAACATCAAGGAATACACTGAGTTCTTACTTCACTCTTATCTTCTTCTTACCTGTCCCACATGGTACAAACAGCAACACTTCCTCCCTCCACCCACCCCAACCTCATGGGCTCCAGGCTCTGGGCCCTCCTATCACACTCACCTATGTCTTCACTGGCAAACCTCACCAGCCTCCTTGCCACATACAGCGGGTCCTCTCCTCCTTCGAGCATGCGTGCCAGCCAGTAGAGGGAGGCGCTCGCGTCTGAGCCCCGCATCGACTTATGAAGAGCAGAGATGCAGTTGTAGTGCTCTTCTCCTGGACACCACAGAAAGCACCTGCTCAGTTACTGGCAGAAAGAGGGACTCCTCAGGGCTCAGAGGAGGGTCCACCAAGCCCTATGGTGCTCTTACTGGCTGACTTAGGGAAGCCTAAACTCCCACAGTGCCTCGGAAAGCTGAGGAGTATATGTGGTAGGTTGCTCCGCACTGATCAGTGTGAGGGCACATGCCGCTAGAGTGGGAGTTAGAGCAGGCCTGTGCAGTAACCTGGGGTAGCCCAGCCCGTCAGAGCAGGAGGCTGCTGGACACCTGTGGTTGTTCACACTGAATGGGAGCCCAGACTAAGCAAAGGGAGGGACATTCACTGTGAAAGGTGGTCCTCACAGACCTTGGTGGATGTGCCAGAGCCATGAGTGGGAAGAGGGGGATTGTGATGTTCTGGCTTCTTGTGCCCCATTGGCAACTTGAGGAGAATTGACCCTGGGCCTGGATGTAGCCCATAAAAAGAAGAGCCAAGTGGCAAGAACAGCTGTTACAGCCCATTTGTTCCTCAGTGTCATGTCCAGTTGCCTTTCTGATATCTGAAGCCTGTGGTCATTTGAATCTGGTGTGGGACACATGTGCGTGTGGCAGGATCCCAGGACTGACACAGGGACTAACAGCTCTCACTCTGAAAGCATGCAGCCCTTCTCCCTCATCACTTGGTCTTACCCATTTTTTTACCCAGGACAACAAATCCGTCAAATGTGCTTTAGGAAAACATATTTAAGAAGAGAAAATTATGGCTAAACATTTGCAACTACACACATTTCACTATTTTCTGACCACCATCTCTTCCTTAAATTTGAGAAGAGGGCATGCTGCTCCTGAGAGAGAACTGTTATTCTTATTAGAAACAGTCCTTCCAGAGAAGCACCTGGTCTGTGCTCCTCAAGCCAAGGGCAACAAGACCATGACCTGCTCTATATAGCATCTGGGCCCAGGAAAGTCCTGGCGACTGACTCTGCTGATAAAGTGACAGCCTTTAGTTGAAGAGCACAGGACAACGAGAAAGACCTGTGAAGCTGCTTGGGTGGGACCGAGCCTCTCCCACTTTTCAGAGGATCACCAAGGCAGATCCACGTTTCAGCAGAGCTGCCAGACTTCTGTGGACAAATTGAGTTGTTGCCTGTCCCAGGGCTTCCTCAACTAGGTCACAGTGGCGCAGAGACTGGCTGGAAAAGTGTCCCGATGAAACCCACATGGTTCTGCCTACCTCCTTCACAGTCCTGGACGCTGGCCCTGTGCTGAGCCCTTCCAGTGCTGAGCCTGGACATGGCAAGGGGCCAGACAGTGCAAGCTTGGCTGACTCATGGACATGGAGAAGGCAGCAGCCACCTCTACTTCACTCCCTGTCAGATATAAATAAGGAGCTGGCAATGACCCTCCCTGCCACAGAGGTTATTCACTTTCTTATATCTTTCCTGAGCGTCAGCAACAAAAGGCAAGATGGTTAAGACCTGGGCTCTGGAGCTAAGCTGCCTGAGTTTGAACACCAAACTGGGCAAGTGACTGACCCTCTATGTAACTGAGCAAGTGACTGACCCTCTATGCCTCCTGGGGTTTCTCATCTGTAAACTGGGTATTATAAGACGAGCTAACTCACAGGGTTGTATTAAATAATGAATGCCTGGTATGGAGTAAGCACTATAGAAACATGTGTTAGATCATTATTCTATGCTAGCTTCATTTTTGCTTTTAGTTTATACCGCTTTATAACTTAAAATTATTATTTATGCAGAACTCTGACCTTAATGCATGGCAGAGAATGTGTTCTCACTTGGAAATTTCTTCATTCTGATGCAGAATTATCTGAGCTAGTTATTGGGTCCAACAATAATAGAAGACAGTAAAAGAAATAATTAGAATCCTGGGGGTAAGGGTCTTTGTTCCACCCGAGTTAAAAAAGGCCCCAAAGTATAAGCCAGCAGACTTCCAGGGTAATGCTTCAATCACCCTACTGATGGGGCAGCCTGATGCTCTAAGATGTGGCTCTAGGATTTGAATTGTGTGAGTCTCTGGATACACTGTGGGGCAGATAGAGTATACACAGTGAGTTTGCATGGGGCAGGTTGGGGTGTAAGACTTGTGGACTGTGTGGGTTCTCAAGACTGGGCTCCAGTGGCTTCCATGGCTCCAGCTCTTCCTAGGGCAGCAAAGAGCTATAGAGAAGGTGATCCCCAAGGAGCAGGAGCCCAAGGACTGGACATGTATGGCATCCACTGTGTGTGTCCATGAGTAGGTATGTGTGAATGTGCATGAGTGTGAGCAGCATGAGTGACCTGCTCCAGCAGTGAGACTGGTGACTGTGGGGAGGGGCTGACATGGAGGCAGCACCGCCAGTGGGGAAGGACACAGTCCTCCTAACCAGTCAGACCTGGAGTTGAGGATGACTTTAACCACTTGCTTTGTGAATTCAGGCAAGTTTTGTCATCTGTAAAATGAGGATAATATTAATAGTTACCTCCTAAAGTTATTTTAAGAATTAAAACAAAGACAATGTATATAAAATACTGAGATTCAATATTAGCTAATGTTCTGTTAAATGGTAGCTTTCTGTTTTTTAAGTGAGAGTGATAAAATGTGAAAGACCAGTTCTAGTTGGTCCAATCAAAATAAAGTCTCTTTTATGACACCTCCGAGTAGAGAAAAAGACCACTGTTGCTGGGACCCCCAAGAAACAATGGAGAGTCCAGCATGTGGGACTATTTTTACCTCTTAAAATTTTTAATTTTGTTCACATCTCCAATGCGAAATTCTACATCCAGAATGCTTTACTTTTCAGATTTTCCAAGCATTCATGACATTCAAGGCCTTTGGAGACCTTCGGGGCATAAGAGAAGTACCTGGTGAGAGGCACATTCACATCAGAAAGTAAAGAGGACTGTTGTTAAAGGCCTCTGATGTGTCCTGCCTGCTTGTCAGCCACCCCATCCCCATTTCACCCCCATTGTCCCCACTGGCTGAGGAGCTTCAGTCACTTCTCCAAGGTCACAGGTTACTCACTCACCAGGAGGCAGTGCCTAGAACCAAAGTCCTTCTTAAACTCCCCACCCTTCTCTAACAAATAAGAAGTCCTCTCCAACATCAAAAGGCATTTGGAAATACTGCTAAAGACATGGTGCAGCCTCCATGATCTCTGGAATGTTCAATCATCAGCTCCCTTTCCAGCAGAGCTTTCCAAGGTGTGGAAATTCTATTCCTGTTACTGCAATATCCAGAATCGCACAGATACTCAAGCCCGAGACATCTAGGCTAATCTACAGTGTGCTATCTTCCTCATCCACATCTTCTATAAAAAGACACAAATGTGCTGTGCTTATGATATTTAATATTGCCAACTCACGGATTTAATAAGAGCTGGTATCAAAATTGATATCTGTAAATGTGGTTCTACAAAAACATAACTTCACAAAGCAAAATTAAATTTTTTAAGAAGCTATTTCAAAATAAAAGCATCAAGATCCAAATAAACTTAATGTTTAGTTCAGACACTAGAAATTAAGAATTTTAATTCTCATTAAACTAATAAGTCACTTATTTCAAGAGTCCTGCTGTTATTTAATGCCATTATAAATTACCTCAAGAATTATTGTTAATTGAATGTATGGGTTTTAAAAATGCTTGTCTTCTAAAAGGTGCCATCAGCGAATAATGGAAAAATAAACTACCTTATAAGGTAAGTTTGAAGCCTGCAATTTCAAACCCTAAAAGCCCTCTCAGTTCTCATCAGGACAGCTTCTGCTCTGCAACTCCCTTGAGAATGCTCAGGAAGGTGGGTCTTTGAAATCAGACTCTGAGTATAAGGTTTAGGTCTATGACCAACCTGGAGATCCCAATGAGAAACACATTCATGCTTTGGACCAAGATGAAGGTCAGAGGCCTGGAAGTGAGAGTGTGTGCACACAACTTATTTCATTAAAGTTTCACTCTTTCCACACTTCAGAGTTATTTACCTGCTCGGTCATATAAAATGTGAGACTTCTGGAGGCCTTCCTTCACATCATTCTCAGTGATCAGAACTCTACTGGGAGAATAGGCTTGCCCACTCTTCTTACAAAACATCTTCCTGGAGCTTAACCTGGCCAGCACCGCCAGCTGCAGTCCATTTAGTCCAATTCGGGCATCCCCGTCACTGAGATAAGCCAGAGTGTCTACCGCTTTATCCTCTATGAATACGGAGGGCCTGCAACACAACCAGCGTTAGTTTTGGTCACACTGATATGACACAACTTTCATTCTATAGCACTTCCTAGCAAACTCTAAGCAAGGTCACTAAAAGCTACCTTATATTCAAGATTCCTTCTCTATTTTGAACTTACATTGTTAACATGGTTAAATACTGTGGAGATTGAAAACTGACCTGACTTTGAGTCATGAAGGTAAGCCACTGGATAAGCACATACACATAAGCATGTATAAAAACATAGAAGTTTTAGAAAGTTGCCATGGACATGTGGTCTCTGTGGTTCTATCTTACAGAACAGTGAAAACTACAAAAACACCAGTACCTCATTATGATGTACAGAAAACATGCCTCACACGCAGGCCACATCCTGACAACATGGGTGTGCTCAGACCACTCCTCACACAGAAGAGAGGTGGCAACACATCAGAAAGCTAGTTCTGAACGGCTCCAGATCACAGCTCAATTACCTCATTTTATAAAAAAACAAACCAGGTATCCAGTTATGCTGGGCAGAGCAGTACCTGGAAGCAGGTCTCTGGGATTCTGGCCTGGGGTGCACTTCCAGGTGCGTATTAATTGCCTTAAGTGTATAAAGTAGCAGAGGTCACAAAAGATTCTGCCAGGACTTAGCTGTGAGATCTTGGGTAAATCACCTAGCCTCTCTCTGAACATCACTACTAAAATTTATCATCACATTTCTAAATGTGTACCTTTATAAAGAAAGTCTAATAAGGATTCATTTTCCAATCTTTTTGGGCAAAATGTTCTATTCCTAGTGTAGTCAGAAAATATATCTAACACATTTAATTACTTAGAGGGGTCTTATTAAGTCATGGCTAGCTGTTAGCAGCACAATTTTTTAGTTACAGCTTACCCATGTCATTGCCAAACTTCAGCTACAAATAGCTATCGTAATTAATAAGTTGACTAGAACTGTCCAAATCTGCTAGTTGGAAAACAATGGATAGGCACCAACTGGGCTGGGCCAAGGCATGGGGACTGAGGTAGGTATGTGGGTGGCTGTCATAAAAGGGGGACCAGCTTGTCTTCGTAAGTTCCTTACTGTACACCTACCCCAATACTTAGCTTGGTGAATGGCTTGAATAATACCAATTTGCATTTCATTTGTTTCTATCATCTTAAAGACCACTTCATCTCATTTCTTAATTTCCTTAAACTAAGACTCCTAGTTATTAATTGTGGATCCCGCGCCATTCATGAAGCACCTATTTTGCCTTATCCTATCCAATAAAAGAGAAACATGCAAATTGACCATAACAGCAGAATGACTGGTCACTATGACACACACTGACCACCAGGGGGCAGATGCTCAATGCAGGAGCTGTCCCCTGTGGTCAGAGCGCTCCCACAGGGGAGCTCTGCTCAGCCACAAGCCAGGATGACGGCTGCGTGGCAGGAGCCTCTCCCGCCTCCTCAGCAGCACTAAGGATGTCTGACTGCAGCTTAGGTCTGTTCCCTTCTGGTAAGTGGACATCCCCCGAGGGCTGCTGGGCTGCCAGAGGGATGTCTGACTGCCAGCTTGGGCCCGATCCCCCAGGGAGTGGGCCTAAGCCAGCAGGTGGACATCCTCCGAGGGGTCCCGGACCTGCAAGAGGGCATAGGCCAGGCTGAGGGACCCCCCTGAGTGCACAAATTTTTGTGCACCGGGCCTCTAGTGGCTTAATAATGACCAAATCTCTCATCAGATTCCTGACAGCCTCCTGGCCCCAGAGCCATGGTTGCAGTCTGGAGGCCCATCCTTCTCCCCTGCTGACCAAATACTCAAAACACTCAACGAGGCTACATCACTGACATTCTGTAAAGCTGACAGACCATTTCTCAAGCGGATATTCTTTAGCAGATTATAGATGATTTGGAAGAAAACGACAGACAATACATACCCAAAGAAAATGTGTTAGAAGGAACCAATATCAAGGACTGTGGCATCACCCAATGTGCCCCAAAGGGAAGGGCAGACACCTGGCTTGGTTACTGCACATCATGAGCGTGGGTA